AAAAAAAATCATGCCATTTTGTAGCATAGGTCTGAGTATATGGATATCCAGTATGGATATAACTCCCGAATGACGTATGTTATTTATTGTATAGCCACAAAATAATAATAAAGTCAGCAGTAAGTATTTTAATTCAATATAGAAATTGGCACCGCTAAAAATTCTTTAGCCGGTTAATTAACTACGAAACCTTCGGTTAACCGTTAAACCGTTAAACCGTTAAAAGACGATCCGTCTATTGATGCAGTTTTACATACATTTTCCTATAATTTTATATTTTCTGCTTGCTATTTACTTACTATTATTATGCGCGCGGAAAAACTCGGGCTACTATGATTGGCACATATCTAAGCTTACCTGTTTGAGTCAGTAATTTCGGACATAATAATTAGGACCATACGAACAATCGAACATTGAGTGAGAACTTTTTCATAAAGATATGTTTTATAAAGACTGATAATTCTACCACATTAACTTTTAGTTAAAGCTGAAATTCCAGTTTAAAAATTTTCAAAGGATTTTTCGAAAAATTATTAAAATTTTGTCAAAGGAATTCCGGTCAAAGTTTTATTTTTTCAATAAAAATGTTAGAGAAACAAAATTTTGCATAGTCAGACTCCTATATAGTCACATTCTATATAGTCACAACATAGTATAGTCGCATTTTTTTGTTAATTTGAAAAATTCCCTGCTAACTAATTAATCATAGTAGAAACATGTCCTGTATAGTCACAAACACTATAGTCACCAAAATTCTTGAAATTTCACTATGGTCCCGAGGTGCGTGACTATACAGGAGTCTGACTGTATATAATTTTAAGTATCTAAGCTACAAAATGATACTGTTTATTGATTTTTTTATAATGTGTGTTTTCGAATCACATAGTTGATTCAAATGTTGAAATGGTCCAAATCGGTTCATGCATAAACCCTATTATACATTTTTCATCCAAAAATTACAGAAAGGTGATAATTAGATAAATCATGACTAATATGTATCTTCCATCCATCCTCCTAAAAAGTATATCTAACATTAAAGATTCATCATCTTCATAAGCTTTGATTATAATTTTGAACCATATTGTTTGAATTCTCATTTCCAAGAATTCGTATAATATTACTTGTAGATGTTTCACAAACAATGTAAAAAAGCTTATTACCTTGAAGCATCTCCTGAATTAGTTCTCTAATTAGGGTTTCATCTTATTTTAAACTATACTATTAAGTGTGTGACCAGTATGTTCATCAATTAATGATGAAACATCCATTTTTATGTGTCTTCCAAATATAACCTAATTTCTTTTTTTTTTTCCGAGAATTAATATCAGTGATTTTCCTGGGCATATATTCTCATACACATGGACATCTAAATAGTCATCTTCAAGTTAAACTGAGTCCCTTGTCCAAAGTGTAAGTGCACAAAAATTCTTCAACTTGTCAATTTTCAAAAGTGTCACATGAATTGTCATTGTCATGTTCAACAATTTTGTTGTCATCTTCTTTATTACCAAGTAAATAAATGATTGAAGCTATATTTTAAATTGGCAAGTAATAGATATGATCTTTTGAACTAAATAAAATAAATTATCGCCTTCATAGTGATTTATATCTTCACCATCAACTGCAAGATGAATTAGATAAATTGTTGTAGGTGAGATCTAGACGCAGAAAAAGAACGGAAGATTAACTTCCAAGTGTTCTCACTTTTTCATCTTTGACTGCATTTAAAACATGGAGTCAAATGAAATTATCAAAATAATAGGATAAAACTTGGCAGAAAATATTTCAGAGAAATCAGGGTATGAATCGTCGTTGTAATTAGTAACGAGTTCCGTTTAAACTAGAGGAAAGTTGATTAGAAAGTAAATGAATGAATGCATGTGAAAGTGGAAAAGAAAGAACTAAAAACCAGTATTTTCTTATCATGGAAAAATCAAAATTGGGTAAAATTGTTCCAATGTTCACTTTTATCAAAAATATTTTTTTTAATTATTGCTTTATAAACCATCCATTCTTCAAAAAAATAATTTTTCTATTCCCAAAATATTCTAGAAAATATTCAATTCTTTCTTTCCATAATTAGAAATATTATCACTCGTGTGATTCCATTCATTTCAGTAATTTATACTTTCATTTACATTTTTTCATTTATTTCGACAGTAAAAGACGATCCCGTTTCTTACAAATCCATTGATATCGGTAAATTAATGGACGATCTGATCCGTCTATGAAAAGCATAATAATAATGGAACATTCGTTTATCACTTGGTGACAAAATTGAACGCTGATCTTTTTGATACTGTGCAATTTCGTATTTTCGATAGAAAAATTTGACAAGCGAGTAAAAAAATCACTTGTAAAAAACAATGATGTTTTGCTTTAATATACTTTTTTTCATTAGTTAAAAATCTTGGATAAAAAGATCAAGGGGTATCATTGATTTTGAAGGGTTTCAATATATACCAAACTCCTCAATTTTATACAAAAAAAAAAAATATTGAAATGTAATCAATATTAATCAATATTATGTATTACAACTTAATATATAGAGCACGATAAGCAGTTAAAGAAATAATATATATATATATATATATACATATATATAAAATATTGTTATATGAATATTTGATATCATCCGAAATGATGTGAATTAAAGACTAGTGCCGTAATCCAAAAAAGGAAAAAGTATGGTTGCAAAAGTGGTCTCAAAGGTAACTGCGACCACTTTTTATATGCCGTAAATACAATTACTACCATAATCATAATTTACAGCACTAGTCTTTAATGTGAATGTTGGTGAATTCGTTAATATTATATATAGATAGATTTTGCTTCATATTAGTTTAATTACTTACCCATGTAAAGAGAAAGAATGACAAAGGGAATTATTTATTATGACTATACGTTTTATATTGATAATAAAAAACTCATATTCAAATACATTGGATGTTGACCATCCTAAACCATTTAAACATTTCCATATTTTCATATGATTTTTAATAAATGTGATTTTTGTAAAGATCTTCAAATAATGAAATTTGTGGATCGTCATAAAAGTCATAATGTGATAAATGAATGTCTAAATAAGGGATCGACGGATGAAAAATGTGTACTCGTTAATTTAATTATTACTCAAATGAAACAAATAAAATAAATTTTATTCGAATCATCAAACAAAAAATTGTGCTACGAATATAAGCATTATTTTAATTGCAATTTCGGCAATTTATTTTTTGTGACATTGATTAAATCAATCTAGATATCCATGTTGGAGAGAAGGATATTATTATATCAGCCTTCGGATTTTTATTTTTGAACATATCATCCGAAACTTCAAAAAAGCAAAATGACGCCATGAGTACTTTGCGTGAGAAAGGGTCAAATTAAATCTCTTTCGAAAAAACAAACATTTTTAAAAAATTGTCATGTAGTGGAGATGTTAGTGGGGGATCGATCATTTATTTCATACATTTTCCCTTGATTCATATGTGGATCGTCAATTAATTTTGAAAAGTCAAATGTCGTGTGACACTAGTAGAAGACCTATGCCAGTTTCGGGGATTTGGTAAATTAAGAGTTTCAGGATCCGAGTACTTGCGTGATTTACATGAGTCTAAATTAATTTGGTAAATTAGAGTATTTGTAACAACAATAATAAAGATATTCGGATGTCGAAATAATTAATAATGCATGATTTACATGAAATTCGGATGTCGCAATCATTAATAATGCACAATTTACATGAAATCTGGGTAAATTAGAATATTTGTAATAATAATAATAATAATAATAATAATTATAATAGTAAAAAATAATTATATATATAGTAAATAGTTAACAAATAAAGATATTCGGAATGTCAAAAGCATTAAAAATGCAATCAAATATTCATTAATTTGAAATTAATATCGAATATGGATATCATTCTGATGTCATATAGGCACATGAATATTATGCGTTTGGTCAATTATACAATATCATATCGGTCGATCAAACGGTGAGTGTTTGTTTTCTTATTTGTTGACTTCGCTAAACGCATGCCTCATTAGTTAATCAGATCAGCAGCAGAAAAGTTTAAAATCTCTATTATTTTATTATTACTATTCATTATTATTATTATTAATATCATCAATTATTATTATTCATTATTCAAAAATTACTATTTTTACTTTTAATGTATAAAATAATATTGAATGAATGAATGTAACACCACATATTTTCGAATTTTAACTTTTTACCACATTTATTATTTTTAACCAATCATCAGGCAAATTGGCACTTAAACTTTCGGAGTTGATTTATTAATTTGGCAAGTGTTGTTTTTGAGTTGCGGGGTTACAAGTGTGGAGAAGTTCTTTTGTGGAGATTTATTAATAATCATTTTAGTATTAACATATACAGCATTCATCAATTATTGCATCATTTAAATATTTATTCAAATATATCTATCTACAGGGTTATTTCAATCAACCACTATTATTTATATGCTGTTGATGAATGATGAATGTTAAATTAAGTTAAATTGCATTTCTTTTTCCAAAAAGATAAGAAATTGTAATAATTATAGTAATGCATTCTATCCAAATTTAATTTAAATACGAATTTTAATATTAACGATAAATAGGATTTGTTGTCGTATAAATATATTATGGGAATTTTCTTTTAGAGAAAAATTTGTAAACTTTTATTAAATATTTTATTATATTACAAATAGTCACCGTTAAATTCTTCTTCATTTCACATTATACTTGACGTTTCATTATATATATATATATATATATATATATATACTTTATCCTTTACATGATTCTTCCCTCCTTCACAACTTTCATCTCCTGTCACATTTTTTAAACATATCACGCAACTTTATAAAACTATTTTTTCTTTAATATTCATATCCACTTGCAAAGATGAATATATCAATATATTTTATATTATTTGCTTTATTCGCGACCAAAGTTCAACCTTTGAGCGAAAATATTTATAATCATTATAGTTCAATGTCAAATAAAAATTCATCAAATCCGGCATTTTCAGACACACTTCCAAATTCAAATTCAAGTTCAAATTCTTCAAATATTATCAATTCAACAAGAATATACGGCCACAACATTCAATTCTTCACTTCATCCAGAATTCTATATTTAGAAAGTAATTACAATGTGAAAATAAAAAATAGCGAATGTTCGCCTCCAATGATTCAGTACACGGGAAAAGACGCACCAGGATTTTCATGTTTGCCAAATGGTTGTTGTCTACCATGTCCATTTGCTAACACGCTTTACCCTGAAAATTTGATCGATTCGATTTACTTGATTCTAAGTTTTGTTAGGGTCATTTCGTTCACGTGTATTTTCGCTTTGGTTATAAGTTATTTAGTATTGCCTAATAAGCGAGAACATCCGGCCATGACTGTATTATTATTTAATGCAAGTCTTTTATTATTTATCAGTGTAACCTTTTTTTATATTGGAGATCATAAAAAAGTACAATGTTATAATGAAATAACACAATCGGATATAACAAATAATCCATTTTATTGTGGAGTGCAAGGTAATTGTGATTGAAAAAAAAATTTTTTTTTTTAAATTCAAATTTTAAATTTTTTCTAAAGTTTTTTTTTTTCTTCTTTTCTTTTCCTTTAAAAACCAATACAGGTTTAGTTTTAGTCTTTTCAACCTTCCTGCTTATTTTATGGTGTCTTTTGTTAATAATACATTTACATTGTCAAACTGTATGGAAATCGAATGTTACACAACTTTATTCTACATATATTTATGCGCTTATATTGATAGTGGCAGTATCTTTTACAGTATTGCCCGGTATAACCGGAGAGATTAATTATGAATTTGGTGCTGTTTGTTTAGTTAGTTCAGAATATTCAAACGACTATTTTTTTTATCCGTTGGCCGCGCTTGTGTTTCCCGGTTTCTTGATCCATACTTGGACCGTCGTGTATATTACAGTGGTGAGTGAAATAATTTTTTTAGCTGATTCTTGATGAATAAATATAATTAAAGATAACTTTCAATTCTAACTTACCATCTTTACACGTTATTTCCCAATTAAAAGTCACATTGGTCATTAAATAAACCAGGACCAACTATGACAGATTCCACAGATTCTGACATCACAGCTACAACATCTACAATGAAACCTAACATTAATTTCAAAACAAGTCATGAAGTTGTTAGAATACTAAAAATACAATGGCGTGCTCTTTTGTTGGCCATTTTACTCTTAATTACTTTTTTGGTTTATTGGGTATGTTTGCTCATTAAATCATTTTTTAAAAATAATATTTTATTATTATTCGAACGCTTTTTTAACAAGGCTTTTTTTCTTAAAATTTGTTTTTAGACATACGAAATAGTTGAACTTCCAAAACTAAAAAGATTATACGATGACGCAAAACCAGAATGGGTGTCTGAATGGTTAGCATGTATATTAGAAGGGAATGGGCAAAACATGTGTTCTAAAATATCAGTACCACATATACCAAGGGTTACTCTTATGATAATATCAGAATCATTTACTGCAACATTGGGAATATCTGTTTTTTTGGTGTTTGGCACTAGTATAAATTTATGGGCAGAGTGGAAGGTTTATTTTATAAATAGGTTTGGGGAATTGTCAGTTGATAATAATATACCCAACGCTTATAAATAGAAAAAAAAGAAGAAAAATGGAAATCGTCTGATATTCCATCTATTTAATCTTTTCCATTAATTTACTATTTATTTCTTGTACAGTCTTCTCTTTTGATTTTTTGAATCATAGATTATATACATAACACATTTATATATATATATATATATTCACAGTAAAAAAAATTCATTACTATATATAATAATATATTCTTCCAACAAACGAACCTTTTTAAGTTATCTTTATGATAGTTTATAACAATAAGGTTCATTACATTGCATATCCAGGATTTTTAACTCTACTCAATATTAATTATTGAATAATATATTGAAAATAAAACTTTTTATCATTAATAATAATATATATAACCTGTCAACTTTTTCTTTTAAATTCCAACAGGTTGAATTATATCCACAAACTAATCTATCAGAGTATCTTGTTTCTCTTCACATTCCCTTTACCTTTGTTCCTCCACATTTATGTGTTGCAAGCATCTAACTCCTTACCATAAATAAATCTTTCTTTATAAAATAACTTTGTCTGTTTTCTATGTCACGAATAATCGAAAAGGCATTATCATTCATTTCATAATAAATTACACAATTATTTTATTTTCCAAGACTTCAGCGATAATTCTGCAGAGCATCGGTTTATTTTATTAAAAAGTTGTAAGGGTTTAAGGAACATTGGTGGAAGTTTTGCTTATGACAAAGTATTGGTGAACTGCCGCCAGGTATCAGATGTTTGTCATACAATAGATAGCTATTGAATCATACCATCCTTTGTTGTTGTCGGATTGTGTTTATTTGCATAGTAATATATAAATATATATAGTAAGTGAATGTAGAGATAATTGATGTTATTCAATTGCTTGATGAAAGAGTAAATTTCTCAATACTCCACTCCCTTGTTTTCCTTACGCGACGTGTAAAAACACCTTCCAGGTATACATTTTACCCATGCTTAAATTCTCCAAGCTTCTCGTAGAATGTATAGTCAGTCAATCAATTTTTTATTCCTCTTGCTTTCTTTCAATATGCATGCAATTGGCCAACTATTTAGTCATATGTTAAGTCAAGTTTAGTCAAGTTTAGTCAAGTTTAGTCAAGTTTAGTCGAGATAATTATTACTAAATTAGGTTTTTAACCCCTTTACGCTGCGCACACAAAGCTTTAACTGGTCACAATCATTTTTGTACAAGATGTCATTGTCATTTCTACTGATGATCAATTTGCACTTTCTGCCTCAGGATTGAAATTCTTCGTTTATAGGATTAAATGTTGGACAAACTACTTATCAATTATGATAACTGTTTCGACATCAACGCTTGGTTTCATGTGTTACATTTTCTCCAAATCTTTGCTAGTCCTGTCTGGCTAGGACAAATGTATGTATGTATGTTGTAAAAACCTATTAAACATACACTAAAGTTGAAATCAAATCATTATGGACATTAACAGCGCACAAAATTTTCTTGTGAAAATTTCGGAAATTTTTTCTGAAATGGATGAAAATATAAAATGATCATCGGAAATAAATAATAAAATTAAAAGATCAAGATTTACTGGAAGAATGAAAATTCTGCCGGAAAAAACCGGCAAATTAGAGTACCTTTTGTGCGCTGGACATTAAATACTGTTTGGTCATGTGCAACTATTGTTGATGAATTAATTTCTATTGGGTTGGTCTTCGAATTGTGCTACGTTGATAATAATATTATTATGTTATGTTATTTTGATTATTTTTGGAGATAGATCAATTATTTTTTTTTTTTTTGATATTATTATTATTATGTATTTCTTTCAACAAAAAAATAAAAATATATACTCTCTCACCTTTCAAAAACCGTGTCACCATTAAAAAAAATCTTTTTAAAGAAAAGAAAAAAATAACAAATATTTTCACATCTATTATATAAATATATAAATATATTATTTTTTTATTCGTATATTTACTAAAAAAATAAACAAGTCATGCTTTCTCAAGGTAAAAATAAAATATTATAAAATATTTTTATGAATCTTATTTTCAGATTTATTTTTTACTCCTTTTATTTGGAAAAAATAAAAAAAGTTTTATGCACGTTTCATACTGTCTGGGAGTGGACCGAGTATCAAATTGAAGAAATATTAGCAATATCAAAGTAATGATCATTATATTTATATAATCTTTGAAAAAATTTACTTGTTTAAAAAAACTGATTCGTTATTTAATTTGTTCATAAAGTAGAACTGTTCAGAGAGAACATCAAGTCAAAATTCAATATCATTCTGAAAAAAATGTAATTTTCTAATAATATTATCTTTACAATTTTTTGTTCTTTATTTTTTTTTTTTTGCTAATTAAATTCCTGTTGAACGACAAAAGGTCTTTGAAATAATCGGAATCAATCATGATTCAGTGGACAGGGCGTAAGTTTATCGTATAATCTCGTGTCCTATGTTCATTGATATTAATTAATACATTTATACTAACATGAATTATCATCATCATTCCTATAGACGTGAAGACCTTTCCAGAATATTAATGATCAAAGTAAAGTAATCTATAATATTTGAATTAATTTTAATTGCAATCATTCTTCCTCTCTTCTATTTTTTCTGCGCCTCTTCTTCTTGTTACACTTATTCATTGTTATTATTCTTAAAAGTCATCAGAGGCCAGGATAACTTTTATGCTTCCTCCGCAACAGAAAAAAGCTGCCAAATTTGATGATGAATTAGTCATTGGTCTTCCACCACCACTTCCACATCATGACCCTTCATTAATTGTCAAAAGAATGTTTGAAGGGGTGGAGGAAATTGAAGAAGTAGATGGTTTAGAAGGCCATTTTTATTTTTCAAATGGTGTTGATGATCCTTCAAAGGTTCTAGGTTGGCATCGTCGTGAAGCTAACACTCCTTGTGATTATTGGAAGGAAATTTCCAAAGATTGCAGTGTGACTGGAGATTTGGTTCTTGATAGTAGGGTTTGTAATTTACTTATTTTTATTGAATATATTCAAAATATACCCTTTATTTTTTTTAATACAAGTTAATGTTGATGTTGTCCAATTGATAAATAGAAAGTTCACATTACAGGTGGTAGAAGGCGAGATATTGAAAAGGCTATCCAAAGACTCGAAGTATTGGAACAAATCTATGTAGTTATTTTTTTTCATTTTTATATATTCATATTTTTAAATTTAAATAGTAACATTTAAATCCATCCTCACGTATATATACGTTAGCTTCGACCTGATTTCAGACCAAAAAGAGTTTTGCTTGTACACTATCCGCAACAAGATGTTCATTTCAAACTATATTTCCTTCCATTGAAAAATCATGGATATTTTAGAATGACAGTTAAATCACATGTGGATCAAAATGTATATTTGCTTATACCTGCTATTTTGGATCCTGGGACTGGCAAATTTCAAATAATCAATTCACAAGATTCCGATCCTTTAAATGTAAACACCAGTAACAATAATCATAGTAATGGAAATATAAATAATTTACAACAATTATCAATCAATCAATTAGCCGTTCCGTTAAATAATAATAATAATAATAATACAAATTTATCATCAAGCAATTTTTTTCCATCGTCAACAACTACATTGCCGCCACCAGTATTATCAGCAATGTCTGCATCTCTTAAAGGAAAAAATAAAGTTATTCCAAATAGCAATGATCATCAATCTCCTCCAATATTCTCAACTAATAGAGACATTTACAATTGGCCACAAATTCCATTACCACGGGAACCTCTTTGGAATAATGACTTTAATCAAAATACTCCATCACACTTTCCCACCTTACCAAATATATCATCGACGAATCAATTTATTGACAACACCACCGAAAAAGATTCGAACAATGATAATAGTAAAAAACTATCGAATTGGGCTATAGCTGAATTGAGAAAACAACGCTCTCAATATACTGAAGCAACCACAAGTCAACCTCGCACTTCCTCTTCCACTGCCTCCTCCTATGCTCTGGCCACTTCTGTTGGAACGATTTCGTGGAATTCTAAAACTCGAGATGCTAATTTTCCAGTTCCAAAAGAATCTAGAAAACATGCTGATTTTTTCGATGAAAAACCATATAGAGAAGATATGGATTATAAAACTAAAAGAATTGTTTTACAAAAAAGTCCCTATCCAGCCCATTATTTAAATCGATTAAATACTACACCTGGAAAAATGTACCACAATTATTTAACATTTATTTATACATGTATATTTATGTATTGTAAATTTATTAATATACAAAAAAATTTGTCTTGCTTTTTTACGATAATAGGATTAGAGACTATAATTTTGCTCAAATGAAAGAAGCATTAGTTGGAGGGTATGATGCTAATTTAAATATTTAAAATAATGACAATTTATTTACTTTTTAAATTTTTATAGAAAAGTACATTAATAATATTTTATTAATATTTAGAATGGAGCATGTTCGAGCATTTAAAGGTGAAATTCGTTTTTCAGGAAGGTATGAATTGATTGGTTGATTGATTGATTGATTGATTGATTGAAATTTATTTTTATATAATAATATATATATATATATATATATTGTTTTAAATTAATTAAAAAAAAAGATTGGGCAAAGTTTTATTTTCCGATGTTTCACCACAAGTTTCAACAAAACTTTGGGAATTTTATGAATTAAAAGATATTATCAAAGAAAAATGTGTTCGAACATGTTTCACTGAAATGCAAGTAGTTCAATTTTTTAAATTTTTTTTTATTTATTTTCTATTCTTTTAAAAAACATTACAAAATCATTAATATGCATCCTTTTTTTTTAAAAAAAAAATAGTGCTACTCACGAAGAAATTCTTTATAATGGATTTACTGAAGTACTTGGCAATAAAGCGTACTATGCTAATCAATATTTTGAAATTGAAGCAGATGCTAGAAATTCACCATATGGTGAATATACTTCTGTAACCATGCATATTAATATGAGTTATGTTTCATTAGAAAAAGTTATGCTGCAATGGAATCGTGTAGTAGATGTTGAATGGTCTGTTTTAAATCGGTAAGTGAACATTCATATTGTCTCATATATATATATATATCACTGGTTGGAAAGGGTAATTCAGTTTAAATGCAGTTTAAATCCATAAAGCTGCACTAAATGGCGCCATTCAGCTACCAAAAAGTGACAAACAGCTATACTGATTTACCCTTTTGACTTGTGCATGCGTGTACACACTTAAACATCTAATTATAAATATCATCAACATTATTATTATTATTATTATTAGCAAATCTGATTTTAATATGAGTATTTCTACAAGAAAAGCACTTCGGCATGATGTCAAACCATTCAATACATTTATTAAAAAAGCGTCGGTTAGCCCAACAACTCGTATAATTACGTTTGAAAATGTGCCTGACTTCTTGGAAGTTAAACAAGTCAAAAACATTACCGTCAACAAATACAAATTACATTTTCCTTTCATAGCTGAAGTTAATCGTGTCGAAATATTACCTCTTATTCCACAAAAAAACTCTAACAAAATTCAGGGTAAAACCGGTTATGGAACATTGTATTATACTATCGAGGTATATTGAATTTATTTTGTTTGGGACAAATGATATTTCGAGGATATTTAAAATCAAATTATTCTTTTAAAAAATTTTATTTAGATTTACAATAGTAATCATAAAGAAATGTTTTTGCAACATCAAAAGCTTGCTACAGGAACAGTTGCAAGTTGGACAGTTTATGATATTCTTGGTGATGATCCAACATATATAAATATGGTTGAATTCATTAAAACCATGCTATTATTGGTAGAGAGATGTAATAAAGTTGCGGATGACAAATTAAAAGAATTGTTGGATCAATTCAAAAAAAATCCTTAATATACATAAATTATTATATATGTTTAAGATTTATATTATTATTGGATTTGGTTAGCTTGTTGGGTTGGTTGGTTGGTTGTTGATGGTTGGTTACATGTATTACATATCATATATAAATTTGCATTACTCATTAAAAAACAGCATTTGATTTAGATATTTTATTTGCGTTTCAAATACTTTTCTTAAAGCCTTGAACTTATTAAAAATAGAAAAATAGAAAAATAGATCTAATAAATTTTAATTGTTTTATATAATTAAATACAATTGATAATCCTATATCAAGCATTGCAACTTTAGCAGAAGTTTTGGAAAAAGTAAATATAAAAATTATATTAAATTTATTGGCTTTTTTCTTTTATTATTTTACTAACAATAAAATCTTTTATAATTGTATCACTATTTTCATAATCAATAACTATATTGTTACCTGTGTTTTCTATTAAATAATTAAACAATTAAAATTTATCAATTAATAAATAATCACTCGATCAATATTTACCTTTAGTAATAATATTGGTTTTATTCAATTATTGATTGGGTATACCGAAGTTCCATAACCAGAGTTGTTATTGACGCCAAAATATTCTATTTGTATGAAATGCTTACGAATGTGATTCATATTTTTCAATTGTGAATTGTTATATATCCAACATTTTTGCAACAATTTTTTTATAATCTGAGACGACTCTTAACTAGTCATCATAATCATTCAAAGTTTCTATGAAGGATCAACATACAAGAAAAAGTGGAGAGATACCTTTCTTTGACTGATAACGATGTGGTGAATCATTTTCCCTCCTCACCAAAACTAGTATCGATGATAATAATAACCAAAACAATAATAATCAAACATCCAATAAACAAAATGAAATTAAATAAAATGTCCATCGGTCCACGACGCTTTACCGACACCCATTTCACTGACAGTAGTACACTTTACCGACAGGACACTTAACCGACAAGCATTGCGTTAATAATTTGCCAAGGACCGTGTGAAGACCTGGATAATTCTATGTAGAAGCTGTTTTTTTTTTACAGACGAGTTAAATCAAACTGTTGATCGAATACTGACCTTGCCTTACTTGATTGTCGGTGAAGTGTCATGTCACTACAACATTATAAACCTTTCTGATCGAGGAAATTTAGGAACGCGTTCCAATAAATCATCCATTGTATCAGAAAACTTTCTTTTTCTTTCTGGCTCAATTTTTTCTGCTATTGTGGGCCCAATACCACGTATGAGTTTCAATTGATAAGATCTTGCGGAATTAATGTGAATTTTGTCATTTGCTATAAAATAATGAATAATACATGAATAAAAGTTCAAAAAAAGCTCCATAATTGATGACATACCTGCGGAAAATTGTGCACGAATTGCAAATGTGTACCCGTAGAAAGCCTGAAAATTTGTTTGACCAACTATAGCACATCTATCAGGAAGATCCACAACTCTCAGGGTATTAACCCGACTAGCATTAGACAAAATGGTAAAAACCCACTCCTTGATAGGTGTTTTTTGTTTTTACACCTCTGCTGCTTTCTTATATTTAGTATCAATCAGCTCTTGATTAATTCTTTTAGAATGCTCTGAATCCGATTCAGTGTACTTTTATTTGGAAAGCAATAAGAAAGCAAGTGCAATATTCTGAAGGTGAAAGGAATGAAAAGCCATCACAATTCGCTTCCTTGCCATTTACAAACACTTTTTGAGAATTCTTATGTATAGCTTCATGTATATTGTCATTTGTATCCTTGACTTTGAGTTTATCAGGATATTTTTCAACCAATTTGTGCACAGTGATTAAATTGTTTTTTGGAAGTTTGATCTTAACATCCGGGAACTTCTGGCTGTGAGAGGCACCACAAACATTAAAGAGAAAACTCAATTAATTGAAACATCATTTTAACATTTAGGCAAACACATTCTTTTCCATGTTAACTTGCATATTCAATGGTTAATTTGTTGAGATAATGGTTATTGGGTATTATTTATTATCATTTTATCATTTTATTACTTTAATTTTTAGATAAATTTTCAAAAACAAACATTAAAGAGAAAACTTAATTAATTGAATCATCATTTTAACATTTAGGCGAACATATTCTTTTCCATGCTAACTTGCATAATCAATGGTTGGTTCTGCCAAATTAATAGTTATTCAGTCTACAGTTAAGTGATTAATTAATGGGTAATAATACTATCATAAATAATAATTCTATCGTACCTTGTACCTTTTCACACGAAGAAAAATATGTATTGATCATGAATGTCATCATGAAAATAGATTCTAAGTGGGTTGAAAATATCCAAATTATTCGGGATTTTTTTTTATTTTTTGGAAACGTGATAAAAAATTTCAAACCAATCAAAAATTAGTTTTGTGTGATGAATTGAAATAAGATCGACAAAATTTGGCCAATGAAATCGTTTATTTTACTTTATGTTCTGGTATATTAGATGCTGAATCAAAACTTATCTTTGATATAACAAAATTTCTTTGTGATGTTTTTGAACAGAACAATCATTACCAGCAATATATGATCCTCCGTTTTGTGAGTGGATAGAGTGCCCAGAGAAATTAGAAATGTTGACAAAGCAAATGTTGGAGGCATTGTATGTAATTTAATAACTCTATTTTTAAACTGAATGTGTTGGATATTAAAAACCAAGGGATTAATATATTATTAGATGTCAAGTTTGGTTTTCACCAAAATATAGGTCTTATATTTTAAATCAGATGATAATAAATGAGGGCTTGTATGTTTGTGAAGTTTTAGTATCAATATTCAGTATCGCTTTTGGTGATCTGCCAATAAAAAATGAAACATGGAGAATATGGTAAGCAGAATATAATTACAGGGCATTTGAATTGATAGATTAATATTAATATTAACTATTTTTTAATTAGGGGTGATATGGCGAGTTGCCCAACATCATGTAAAAGGGTGATTCTTGTAGTACATGCAGACTAGATTTCATGTTTATTGTTTACGTGAATAATGGAAGAGTAGATGTTCTGAATATGGAAACTGGTCATCCAAATTCTCATAAACGAAAACAGGAACAAGACCGTTTAAAGTTAGCACGACTTGCTAAACAGTTCAAAATCGATGGTATAATTTACAACGTTGGAAAAAATCTTAAATTAGGTGTTTTTGAATCAGCAAATATTTTCAAGGGTGAACATGATAATAAATATCAAAGAAACTTTTAAATTGCCAAAAACCATGAGAGTTATTTATTGTGGTTTGGCTTATTAAGAAGGGGATGTTGAGTGGCCTATTATCAATATTTTCTATCAATGTCGCAGGTATATTAGGATATATAAATTAGTTCATTATTAAATAAATCTAATGATAATGTTTTTCAAAATATATAGAGAATTCAGGGTCATGATTGACCATTTAAGGATTTACAGTATGGGTAGGGAATATGGTATCCTCAAAAATTGTTGTTGTAACATGTATTAATTATATTTTACTAAGTTTAATAAATTTGAAGTGAAGTCTTAGTTTAAAAAAAAAAAAAAATTGTTTGTTGACTCAAGTGACTGTACCATTACATATGGTATCAACTAACCTAATCTATCCACTCATCCCATTTGTTGCTAACATTAAAGGTATTTTTTAATCTGATAAAGATGTATTATAAGAAGAATCTAGCAATTTATTATCATTTTTTATTTATAACAGACTGTGATTATATGCATGCTACAAAAGCTTATAGCTTATCTTGAGAAAAACAAAACGGAAAATAATGATCTTTCAGATGAAAACAATTATAGCACCAAAGAGACATAAATTGAGTATTAATTTAAAACAAGCAGGTTCAAAACAATAACTTTATATTGTAAACTATTTTTACTGCTTCAATAAACTGATCCAGGTAGTCGAGATTTCCATACAATATGAGGTGTAAGCTGGCATAAAGTGCCGAAAAATAAAGCCAATTAATTGATACACATATTAAGAATGAGCGAAACATACAAGTAGAATATTAAATGATGAAATGGCTAAATTAATTTTAAAAAGTAATGATAGTTTATCAAGTGATCTTGAAATATTATCAATAGCAGCAATAGTAGAGGATAAATGATTGTGATGAGGTTAAAATTTTGATAATTAATTTATTTTCAGTCGTTTCTTAAAAATTATGCATTTTTATGAATTTTTACGTGTAACCTTTAAAATAAAAAGTGAACAAGAAAGCAGTTGCAGAAACCAATATTCCTACTAATTCAAAAAGTTAAATTTATATATCGGATAATTAAAAATAAGGAAAAATAATCGGTTTTAATAGTTTGTCATTTAATGCATTTGCAAACTTATACAAATGGTCCAAATTGGAAATTTGGTCATATAGTGAGAGTGATAGGTGTAAAATTGCATACATGATTTCAAAATACTATACTCACCTGCCAAAAGCATCCGAATACTTTTGGCAGGTGAGTGTATTGTGTTAAACCTTTAAAGATCATGTATGCGGAATCTTCAAATCCTAATTAAAGGAATGCAAAAGAATTAGTTCAAAGAAAAACTCTTTTGTCAAACACTGAAGATAAAAATTTCAATAGTATAGTCACATCATAATTGGTAAACTATATCGTACCTTGGATAAATCGATTCAATCAATAGTTTTTAATTTGTTTGCCAATTTAATTGTCTTCATCTTTAAATATCCCTCGTATTTATTTATAAATATATTACCAAATTAACAAGTTTACGAATGAAAACGCAGAGTGAGCTTTTTAGATATATTTAATACAAACGTAGGTTGTGTTATACTCAAATTTATTATTACCACTAACGTAGAGATATTTCTTTCGGTGCACAGAATTCAGCTACGACGCCCTTATCTACTGCTGTCTAAAATTAAACGAATCCCGAGAAGGAGCCTGCTCATTATTTCTAAATGCTTTGAAGTTTATTTTGACAATTCATAATTGTCTATTCTATGTCTATTCTACTGTAATCAATACCTGTATAGACCTTCTCTCCACTTACACTCTTGATAAATACAACCGAGGATACATTTTTTTGTAAAAAAATATTTTGTATTATTTTGTTTAAGAAAGAGTACGAACCAAATGAAAGATTGATTATACTGTATTTATACTTGTGGTTAGATGAATCCATTCATCCAAAAACCATCCAAAAAATTGTTGTCAAGAAACATCATCAAGTCTTTTAAAACACAAAAGAACAATCCATGATTTTATTTTCTTATAAAATTTTTCTGCGCATTATAAAATAAACAAAATAGAGATTAAGCATAATAAATTGTAGTGACGATGAACGGGTCATCATCACTCGTTTTCTTCCTTCTCCCACTAAGTCTGTATAAAAATTACGATTTTTAATAAAAGCCAAAAAAATCGGGTTTTTTTTATAAAGCAATAAACCAAATATAAAATAAATCATTGACTAAAAGTAGTTTCTCACAAGACCTTTTTGCGATTAAAACCCTTGACGAAAGTAGTATGCAAAAGCAACGATTTTTAGTTTTTTAATAAACACTTTTCATGTGATGATAAAATATTACATATAATTTGTATATTTAATCCATTCAATCATATAATTCATAAATACAGCTGGAAAATAAAAAATATCTACGTTTAAATAAAACATTAATAGACGAGGCAATTGATAGTAATAATATGTGAAAATATTATTATTGTTATTCAAACCGTAAATTTTGTCCAGCTGATTTATTCATCATTTGTGGATAGATTAATAAATTCAAATAATGATAAAAATGATATTAAATAAACAATCACGCGTGCAATTATTACTATTTTTTATAAATATTAATTTGGGATTTTAAATAATAATATAAATGATGAAAAAGATTCCATGATCAGAAATAAACCAACAACTTCATGAAGAGTCGATAAATGTCCCAAGTAATTTATTAGATAATGATGTTATTATTAATGCGGGGGAAGATATTTAAATCACTGTTATATTTTAAAATGAGATCACCTTATTTCTGGAAGACTTTATCAACCGGGTAGGCTATACAAGAGAATGGAATGTATACGCTTAGGAAGCCAGATATTTCGTCTCTGACATTTGGCATTGTATTAAGGCATTATATTTATTAATTGTCATCACGATTACCTTTTATTGATTTAATTGAGGTTATAAAATTAGATATATTTATTAATATCAAAGAATTGAAGTTGTTAATTTTACAAAGCGGTTTGATTGGTCGAAAACATATTTGGATAGTAATAGTAATAGGTAAAAAATCATTATTTGATCTATAATGCAAGTCAAAAGCATCCAAACTGTCCAATATTATCAGACATGGTTGGAGAAGCTTTATTTCAAGAACCTGATTTGTTATTAAAATCAGATGGTTATGTTGATTTAAGATTTGATACGTGGTCTGGTTACTTCAACGAGATGATCTGTCAATGAGTGAGATGGAAATCTGGAGGCATGTAGTTCAATGATATTTGATAGGAAACTTGATACAGATCTCAAAAAAAAATAGAACAATCAAGACTCTGATGACTTTCAAAAGGTTATAGACCAAATATTGTCCTATATTCGTTGGTGTCAAATTGAAGTAGATAATTTTAATAAACAAGTTGATAATTCCAAAAAGATTCTGCCCGATAATTTGTATGAAATAAAAATGATAAGGTAATGCCATATTATGTACCTTCACCAATTTAGCAGAAATTTCCAACAAGAATATCACCAACGCTCATTGCTTTTCAACAAGATGCAAAAATTGCAAGTTGGATCGATGAGTTTGATCTTGATACATCCAAAGAATTTTATGATACCCATATGATTTCAACTTGGTTGTTAGAGATAGCAGAAACGAAAGCTTTTATCAAAAGCACATTTTCACAGCATAAATATGTTGTAATCAAAAAGTTAATTGGTGGTTATAACCCTTTTGATTGGAATAATAATTCATTACCATATATAAATCCTAAAACATGTGAGGAATTTAAGAATTGTTTTACTTTTTCAATAATGAGACCGGTGAAAATAATGAAAAGAAGAAGACACAGATATAATTAGTAGAGTACTGGATCCAAAAAATGCTATATATTGTAATGTTTTTTGTTCATTAGCACTTGGTAAAGGTGATTTATTTCTAAAAAAGTCGATTTGGAATTGGACAATTTTATGGATATGTAGACAAACTAATTTTGAAAAAAAAAGTATTAAATCTAGTACAGAACAATTATGATTGATGAATTTGAAGTATTTCATATTTTATCATAATTTTCAAATGTTATTATAGTGATACCGAAAAGAAGGTAGGAAAGTAATGACGCCCAAACAATAATTAAATTTAGCAAATATATAAATCTTATTTAACTTTAATTATAAAAATAATTATTTTTTATATATACTTAATTAATAATCTTTTTGTAATACTCAATAATAATAATAATAACAATATAAAATGTAATAATATATATTTATTAATTACTTAACAAATGAATAATAATCTTTCAAATTTTCTAAAATTGTGCTCAATGTGACCCAATAATAATAAATAATTGAATTCTTAACCTGTCAATTAAAAAAATATAAATGAGTATAATGTATCATTGTATAATATCATGGTAAAAATGATTGATATAAAATATTTTATCAGAAAATAAAATTTTTCTACATGCAAGAATTTTCAGACAATGTAGATAAGGAGTTATGTTTTTAAAAACATGATCATCATATATATATAATATATATATGTGTAGATTAAAGAAAAAAAAGCAATTAAAACTAACCTTTCTTTTTAGATACACCAACAGTTCTACCGCGTCTACCTGTAGTCTTTGTATGTTGACCACGTACACGTAAACCCCAATAATGTCTTAAACCACGATGAGCACGGATCTTTTTTAATCTTTCTAAATCTTCACGAAGTTTACTTTCAAGACCATTAGCCAACAGTTGTGAATTCTTTCCATCAACAATATCTTTTTGTCTATTGAGAAACCAGTCAGGGATTTTGTATTGTGTAGGATTTTGAATAATGGTCACAATACGTTCCAATTCTTCATTGGATAATTCACCAGCTCTGAAAATATTTAATTTGAATTAATCGATATGATTTTCATTATCAAGACAAAATAAAGAAAGGTAAATACCTTTTATTTAGATCGACATCAGCCTTTTTACAAACCAAATTAGAATAACGACGACCAACACCCTTAATTGCGGTTAAGGCAAACATTACCTTTTCCTTACCACTAAAAATTCAAATTCAAATGCCAAAAATAAATTAATTATTATTAATCTACAATTAATACTGATATGATGATCACTATAATAACATTAATGCTTACTCAACATTGGTGTTTAATAAACGAAGAATGTGTTGAAACTGATTTTTATCAGGAACTACAAGTGACTATTTTCCAAATTAAAAAATAAATAAATTTAATTTTATAAAATTAATTTCGTTAAAAATCTCCTTGTAAATAACAATAATTACCATGTTGACAAATCTATTATTACGATTATTATGGAATTGAAAAAGAGATTGAAATTATTTATCAAAAAAATTTTTTGGACTGATTGTTTTAGTAACGATTTACATTACATTTAAAATATTTTATTTTATAAAAAACCAAATAAAAAAAAATTTATATATAATATATACTGATGATGATGATAAAGATGATAAAAAAAATTAAAATTAAAAATATCCATTATTATTGCTATAAAAAATAATATAATTTTTATTATTAAAAAAATTAAAATTTTATATTAATATGAATGTTGATCAAGCATAGATATCTTCCGACCAGTTATTTGTATTAATATCTATTCTTTCAGTTAAAGCTTCTTTATTAGAAATATAATGATCATTCAAATACTGAACAGAAATAGGATCCAGGGGGTCCATTGAGTTCACCTGAATTTGAGAAGGAAATGTTGTTTGTGGTGGTGGTAGTGCTGATACATAGGAATTATTGTATGAAGCTGAAGGTGACGATACACCTCCAAAAGTATTATATTGTGGTCTTACAAGAACAAAAAAGGCGGAGAAGATCAATACACTGCTTTTATTTTTGAAAAAAAGTTTTAATATTATAATTATTTACCGATTTACTGCAGTATTTTTATCTGTTTGAGTTCTACCCCATGATACTCGTACTCTTGAATTACCTAAACATAAAATAATGTGATATATATATATATATATATATATTTAACTGTTGAAGTAAACCATAATAAATAATATTTTCATAATTAATAATTAATGTTAATTTTTTCAATACCAATAATCTGATTTTGCATCTGATTGATAGCCGTTTCAGCACTTTCTCTACTAACATATTGTATAAATCCGCAACTTTTACCAATTGGAATTTTTACATTTCTAATTTCACCATATCCTTGAAAATAACTATTTTTGAGATATATATAACATTTGATATAACAAAGATAAATAATTAAATATATATACATATATGCATAGAATACGATAATAACAAACCTTTTAAGTTCTTCTTCACCATTAACACCAGTAATCCCTCCAACAAAAACTGTAGTGTTATTTGGATCATTATCATATTTATTAAAAGATGGATTTTGAGCAGTTGTTTGTTGAATATGACCACCTTGTAATAAAAGTTTATTTTTAGGAGTTGCCGTGGAAATTCGTATTGGTCGATTTCCACAAAGTGCTCCTTGCATTTCTACAAGAGCACGTTGTTGATCACTTTCTTCACCAAAACGAATAAATCCATACCCTAAATAATAAATAATTCAAAAAATGATTAAATTATTTTTATTGAATAAATTATTTTTATTGAATTGACTATTTTTTTTAAAAAAAAATTGCTCACCTCTAGATATTCCACTTATTGGATCTGTCATTATTTTTGCAGATTTACAGGAAGGATAATGTTGTTGAAAAAATGTCTAATAACAAGATTAATATTATTATCACATTAATAAAATGATGTTATAATAATAACAATTTTTTGATAATTTTCTATATATACCAGTAACATCCATTCATTAACTTCTGGCCCTAAATCACCAACGAATACCGAAAAATCTGCTCCACGATCATCTCTAAAATTATAAAATAGATTATTTAATTTATATAATTATAAATACATCTACATTTGAAAATTTTATTGTTAACAACTTCCGAAAATAGTAGGCACATTTATATATGAACTTACTTTCTATCTGTTGAGCCGCCTCCTGTTGCCCAATTAAGTTTGAATACTCGATTAGTACCAGGGATAGCTGCTCCGCTTACTGTGGTCAATGCTTTTACTGCCGAAGCATTGCTCACAAAATCTACAAAACAATAACCTGCATTTGCACTAGAAAGGATATTTGGAAATTTTTATTTATTTATTTATTTATTTATTTATTTATATTTATATTAAATTATTGAGAAAAAATTTTTTTTTTATATATTGTATATAGTATTATGTACATACCCAGTAAATCTGTCTCTAATTATTTTTACATTAACATTTTCACCAAGTTGGTACCAAATTTGCCTTAAAAAATTTTCGTCCATCCAAGGTTCAATTTCTCCCATCCTAAATTAATGAATGATTAGTACTTTTTTTCAAATTGGTAAACAAATCTTGAGAGATCTGTAAAAAAAAATTACCATAAAGTGGTTTTATTATCAACTACACCACTAAATGCTTGTTGCATTTGTGGTGCTTGTAATTGCTGTTGTTGTGAATATGGATCATATTGATAATTCATATTTTCAATAATATTATTAATAATGAAAATAGAAAATATGAATTTTAGAAAATATGGACATTCGTGGTGAACAAATAAAAAATTTTTTTGAATTAATAAAATAAATACACGTTCATTATTTCTATTTAGGTTACACGGCACGTTTTTTATAAAAATAAATTTGACATTTTAATTGGCTGATAATCAAAAACAGTATTTAATTACTAAATACAAAGTAAAGAAGAATGTCGATAGTCCACTTATGTAAAAAGAAGGGTCGTTGACTGTGTGAAATAGTAATAATTTAGGGCTTTTTATTATACATTGCTTATTATAAAAAGCAGTATATAGCAACCACAAACATTACACTACATTAATTTTAATTTATAAGGATTCATTTAAAATCCTTAAATATTAATGAATGACGTTTTTATTGTTTTTGGTGAAGTGACGGGAATAACAACAATATTTCTTCTTAAAAATCCCCTTGCATTGTCAATCTTTCAAGGCTTTCATCTGAATTATACGAACTTCTTTGATTCTAATGAAAGAAATTAATTAATTCCATTTTCAATTTGAGGCGTAATCATTTGACAGTCTGATGATTGATTTTCAGGCTTTGGTGTTCAGTTATAATACCAAATTTTTGGCTTGGAGAACATACATATTAAACAAATAATTTCAATAAGGCAAAAATCATACAAGCAACCATATCACCCGACTAAGGTTTCCGGTCCAAACTATTTTGAGAAAAGTAGCTTTGACAATAGTTTGGGCTTCTCGATATTTTTTATAAGAATGAACATGAAAAAATTATATAAATCAACCTATTTTAATTTAAATAATTTAAAAATAATTTCGCCCACTAAAAATAGTTTTGGCCAATAAAAATTAATTTTTGCCCAAAGTGTTTCGGCAATTTCGACCAGAAGAAACCTTACACCCGACATAATCATTCCGCCCAGTTTGGAATATTATTATTATCACTATTTAGTGTTCGATCGGCACCATAAACTTCAAAACATGGAATAACAAAAAATACGCACAAAACATACCAAGATGGTATTTTTTTATACTGTATTTCCATATTTTTTTGGCTATTCCGCATGTATTTCTTTATTTTGTTTTCTATAGAGCTTTTAACCTCAGTTTACTATCGTAGGCAGAATTGCAACTATAATAGAAATGTCTTTTCAAACTGGGATGGGAAAGTCCAAGTAAAAATTATTCCGAGTCTTCATAAAAATTTATTAGATGTAGAATAAATAATTGGTTTAATAATAATATAGTTAAATAATTCAACCAAATGAAAAAAAAAACAAGAACAATCAAAGGACAAGGTATACTTGTAAGCAAGCTTCTTTTTATGTCTCTTTTACATAATACAGTAGTACCTGTCTATAAGCATACTGTCGGGCTAAGAAAATCCTATGCTATTAAGCAGGTTATTATTAAAAGCGGGTTTTGCATTTGGGGTTTGTACTAGGAAAATTAAGCTTCCAGACAAAAAATCTATTTTTAGTAACAACCCTTATAAATTTGGTTACACATGTTTTTAATATATAAAGAAAATATTCCAAGCCTTGTATCTTATTTTTCTACTATGCAAACAGGGTCCAATTTTTTCACCAACTGTAAATCCTTTATTAGAGATTATTGTTGAGTAAAAAGAAAAAAAAAAAATAGCTGGAAGCTTGATTTTCCTAGTAGACCCCATTTATATGTTTATGATGTCACAAAATTCATGATTTTTTTCTTTAATAAAAATCAGTTGATATATGGGAGTTGGACTAGGAAAATCAGCCTCTGGGTCTCAGGACCAAATCAAGATTTTTGATTCAATTTATTCTATGGTACAAGGATTATAAATGGTTAAAGTTTGAGTGATGTTAGCATAATAAAACCTTGTACAATTGAGTCTGTTTTTGTAGTGATTTTTCTTTTAACAAATTCAGAAATGATCGTCATTTGCGCACATTTAATTTTAACAAAAAAAATTTTTATTTATGGTTCTGTTGTATGTGAAATTGAAATATTATGGGGTGGGGTGAAATTTTGATTGGCTAATTTGAATCTCACACATGTAAATTTGAATTTCACATATGTGAATTGCAAATTCACATAGTTTCATTTTCATGTACAACAGTTCTGAATGTACATGCAGCCCAAAGTATTTTGACACTGTCATAAAGGGGATTGCACGTGTAGTAAAGGGGTGTTACACTTATGTTTTTAATAGTGAATGCAGTAAATAATTTCTACTTTCTACCATCAAAATTGGAATAATTTTGACCATCAAAATCACCAAACCAATTTGGGCTGCATGTAAAACACTTTCTAAATTAAAATTTTTTAGAACTTTTAATTTGTCTTCACCCATAAGACTGGTATAACTCCAATTCTTTGAATCTGGGTTTGCCAAAATTGGAAATGTACACCAATTCTAAGCATTTCTTTTTTTATTTGTTCCCTTGTTTCTTCAGAACTTTGGTAATTTGTTTCAGATAACATTAGAACCCAAAGATGGTCAGTAATACGAAGTGTCAAATGTAGTTCATCTGGAATCCAATGAGTTAATGGAATCATAGGGAACAAGGGTTGAAGCTTATGTCCTGGATGTGCCTGATAATTGACTCTTATGATTTCCATTCTTTCTCAAATTTACTATGTTCAAATTTTGAACACAGACACCATGGGCAAAAATGATTTGCAGTTGCATTGTTTATTCCTACACAAATTGATAAAATTTTCCAATAACTGCTAAAGTATATAGTTATTCTCCATTTTTGCCCAATTGAATCAATAAATCCATTCTTGTCAATATCATCAAGCTCTTCTATAAGTTGGTGTAAAGCTTTTTGCAAATATCCATATTTTTCAACACCAGAATATAGTACTAAGCTATAATGATGATCTGGTAGGAAAATAGCATTTTTATTATTCATAATACCCAAATAACAAAACTCCGGACATTCTAGTAGTTTTTATCAATTTCCTATTATAATAAATAATATGTTAAATCACTTTTAAAATTACATATTTATAAACAAAAGGAATGGGAATTTTATACCTTCAAATATTTTTGAGTGGCATCTGTTGCTGATTTTTCTGATGTTACTTGGTGATTTTCATTTTCACTATCATTCCAATTCAAATAATATACAGGCCTATTGTCATGGTATTTAGTAGAACATCTGAGTATATGCTTCTTTTTTCCAAATTCAGTTTCAACTAAGTACTCATCAGGTATAGGATACTTACATCCATTAGAATTGGCCTGAGTATATTTTGGAACATCAGGATAAATACCTTCATTAATAATATTATAAACAAATGAATTATTAGGGGTTTTATGTTATTTTTTTATTCAAAGGATAATTATGTGTTTTGAAATCAGAGCTTGATGCATTTGAAGATGAAGAAGTCTTTTTTTTTAAAAATACTAATTAAGAATTAAAAAAAGAATTGATTTTTCTTTCAAGTGTTAATTAAAAAACCTGTAAAGATTTCTTGATATTAATTTTTGCAAAAAGGATAATTCATGATTAATTAATTTTCTTATTGTTGTCAAAATTAAAGAAATTTTTTTTAACTGTTGTCAAAGAAAAGAAATCAACTAAGTCTTTTTGGAAATGAATTAAAAAACAGGAATCTTGTTTTTATCTTTCAATGTTAAAAGATAAAATCTTAATTGTTGTCAAAAAAATTTGAAAATGAATTAAAGTAATCTGGCTAAGTCTTTAAATCCCAATTTATCTTTTCAAGCGACTAAGTCTTTTTTGAATTAATAAAAGAAAACAGGAATCTGATATTTATCTTCTTGAGATTCCTTGTAATGAATAATGTGATGAACAATTTTTGTTATCTTTATTATTATTAATTTATTCAAGATAATCAATTTATTATTTTTATTATACTTCTGGATATTATATATAACAATAAGATTATTATATTTTTATTATATAAGCAATAAAAATTAACTTGTATTAACTAGTGATTCGAATTTTATGAATTAGACACCTCATTGAGAGAATTCGAATGGCAGTTGTTTTTATCCAAAACAACCAGATATTGACTGAGTTATGGTAATTTCAGTTCATTTGATATGGTTTTCTCATGACATGTATTACTTAATAAAAAATTATTATTATTATTGCTTTATAATTTTTTCCGTAAAAATTCCGTATACTTTATAATAATCATTCCATAGTAATAGTAATAGTATTACAATGAAGAGAATTATGTGTAACAAATAAAAAATCATACAGTCGCACCTGTCTATTTGCATACCATATATTTGCATAATCTGTTCATTTGCATAAAGATAGCTTAGTCCCACATTGGGACTTATGAACTATTTGCATAACGTAAACGTGCATATGCATCAAAAGTGATCCTGATTCTACTAAGTCCCCACAACGTATATATGCATATTTATGCTATAAAAGGAAAAAGATCAACTAGAATTTATTTTATTATTATTTTTCAAAAAAATCATTAATAGCACTTTGTTTCATAGAATCAGAATAAATCTTTTTCACAGTATTATTTACACTAGC